GTAAAATCCGGCGTAAAACGTGCACCGGTGTATAACGGTGTATTTTTTAATTTTAAGGTATATTCGCCGTATAACGCGCACCTCCTTTTTTACGAAGAAATCTGAAATGTTAGGATACAATGCTCTAATGTTTTGAAGTCATTTATTGAAGGTATTATCTCAGACTTTAGGATAAATGGTATACTTCTAAAACTACAACTCTTTTAGCTCATAAGGCATGTCCTTTATTTTAAATGAACAGTATTTCGATATGTGTAGAAGTAAATTTGTTTTTATGTTCATCTCTTTTGTTATTTTTAAAGCTATCGTTTTTATACCCGGCGTATAACGCGCACCCTTAAATTTCGATCTTATTTTTTGTGTTAAAAGTGCGCGTTATACGCCGAATTTTACGATAATTAAATTTTACGTACTATATCAGTGATGGCGAACCTATGACCCGTGGGTCAGTGTCTGACCCACGATTGCTAGGCAACTACTTGTTTGCTTACGCGAGTTTATTTAAATTTTCTAATTTGTGTGGACTATTTATATTCCATTTGAATTTTTTCAAGCCCATTGACACAAAAACAATTTAAATGTTGTCTGTTACCTTCAGTGTGATCATCACAGTTCCAAACACTGGCGTAGCTAGTCCTGAGTGGACCCTGAATCCAAATTCTTTGGAGTCCCTTTTTGGTGGGCTCTCAATATTTTACGATCTCTTCTTACACATTTTAGGGGCCTGTATCATTGATACGGTGGTAGCGACACCCTTGGTTCCAAAGCTACGCAAACGACAGCAAATGTATATGAAAGTATGTAGTATTTGAAATAAAGCAAAAGTGTTCACAGAATATCAAATAAAGTGTATAAGTTTGCTCACATTTTGTTAGTTGAAAAACAATCGAAAACTAAAGCAAAAAACCATATTTAAAGCCCTTTCTTCGGATAAAATGCACTTTAATCAGTTATGTTTGTAGAAAGTTTGTAGAAAGAGACTTCCATAGCGTCCTTTCTTACCCATTATAAGCCAATTGAATTTAAAGATGTTTAGTTTTAAAAATACTCAGTTAAAAATTTTTAAGCCTAACTCTGGTGCAAATGGGCATTAGTGACCCACGCGCTAGTATTAAAAAAAATATGAACAAAATTTGACCCTCGTCTCAAAAAGGTTCGCCATCCATGTACTATATGCATAGAGTTATAATCAATCGAAAAAAAAATCAAGGTCTTTGGGGAGGGTCTGGACCCAGGGACCCCATCCCCTTGTTTGCACCACTGGTACTGGTCCTTAGAATTAATTGTGTTGAGAAACACTGTTTAAGAGGCATTTATTTTTAAATTTCATTATTGTTGAATCACAAATAAATTCAAAAATATACCCGTAAATACAAAATATTATAATACAAATATGCCCGCATGTTGTTTTTAATTTAGCATTTATAAAAATAATTCAATGCATTTTAAATTATTTAAAATACTCTTAAAGTTAATTAAGTAATTTTATGGCTAAAAATCAGAAGTTTGAATGAGTTATTAATGAGAGGATTACAATTTCAACTCTCTTGAAGGAAATATAAAGCGATTCAAGATTATGATTTAATAAGATAAAAAATGCATTTTAGATTTGAAGATAAATCCTGATTATGTCAACAATTTTATCTTCTTACCTTATATTCTACTGAAATATCTATTTGGGTGTGTGTTTCTTAACGAAAAATTATTCTCTTCTGAGTAATCATTACTATTATTTCGTCAATACTTTAATGTATATTGNTGGATGTTATCTCTTGTTTGTAGAGAATAAGCCTATATATATATATTCTAAAATAAAGTTTTCAAAGACCACATTTTTGAATCATTTATTTTATATCCAGAAGGTATTTAAAGCCATGATTACATAACATTGAAAACATTGCTCAAATTAATCAAAAACAAAGCACAGCAGCTGCGCATGAGCCTTTTTCTGAATGAATTGTTTTGTTTGCTATCCTTCCAAACCACATGCATTTCCCCTTCTTAGGCAAACAGAGTAAAATGGTTTCATGTGCTTGACCTTGAAAATTGGCCCAAATATCCTCCTTGAATATGTTCTTGTAAATATTCTGGAATCCAGAATTTTAAGTCTATCCTTTAGACCACCACTCGCTTACTCACTTTATGCAATGAGGACAGATAAGCAAAATATGAAACAACCCCGAAAAAATGTTCATATTTTGCCCTTTTACTTACACTGTTCGTTTATATTAATTTGAGGGAATTATAAATTTTCAGTTCATAATTATTTCAATTATTTAGAAAGAAAATTTTGAGATAAGCTATATATATATATATATATATATATATTATCCTTTTCCCCAAAGATTCATAAATTAGAGATGCTAATTCATTGAAATAATTCATTTGAAATAACGAATTTCATTTTTTGTTATTGTTCATGTTTTTTTTCCACAGAGGGAAGAAAATAAATAAAAACTTTCAAATGACCTAGATAATTTAATCGATAACATTGAGAGATTATTTGAATATTAATATGTGATAAAATACTCCCCGCCTTGATAAACTCAAAACTGTCGCGATATGTGTGTAAGATATTTAGATCAAGTGTGCTCCAACACTTTTTTTTTTCATTTAAAAAATACTTTAACTAAAAAGTTCGATATCTAAATAAATAATTAATGTAAGTGATATTGTTTAGTTCTCAGTTAGTACTGTAACCACAGCATAAAAAATTTACTTATTTGTGTGAAACCTACAATCGAAACTTTTCAGAATGAAGATGTAAATAAACTCTTTGATGTAAAATTATGATTTTGAAAGATTCTCAATTTCTAATTTTACACTCAAGCATGTTATGACTAAGAAATAGCAGATTCGTTTAGTTTTATACCTTGAAGACTTCATCATATTTACGTGAAGAATCGATTAAGCAAAACTTTAGACAATTTTCAATAAGATATTGCAACTCTTTGAAAAAAGAATTCATTGAGGAAAAAGTAAAAACATCATCTGGTATAAACGAAAGTTGAACAATAAATTAATTTTTGAGTTAGGGGGTGGGGTGGGGAAAGGAGTTTGTAATTCATGGCAAGTCGAATGGAAATTGTTAGTCATTTTGATCTTCCGTAACATTTGATACAAAGCTCTGGAAGTTCTGGGAAATCTCATTTATTCAGTTATGGAAGTATACTTAACCCTTAACTTCGCAATTTTTTAAATTTCTTTGAAAAAATTATATCAGCTAGTTCTCAAGTAATAATAAAAGGGAAAAATATGAAAAAAAAAAATTAAGCAGTTTTAGATTGAATTTCCGTCATTTTTTTGTTCGTTGCAGAAGTGCAACACTGCGCAGGAGTGCTGTAAATTACAAAACTTTTTTTATAATAAGATTTTATTATTCATCATAAAATGTTTACATTTCTTACCTGGCAATTTATTTCGACAATAAATAAGAGGAAGCATAAAATATAATGAATTCTTTTTATAGCGAAACACAGTTCTTGAGGCATCAGAGATTTTTATAATTGTTGTGATTGCTGGAAAAAATGTACTTCCATCTAGTGACAAAATTAGCATGTATTTCGTTGCAGTAATCTTTTTTCCCTCAGGTAAGTGATTTGTAGGCAATTAAAAAAATATTGAGTCTGTTAAATTAAAATATAGCATATGCTGCAGAAATGCAACAGGGCGAAGTTAAGAGTTAAGATACAATTGTGACGTCTCTCGCGTCTTTCTGATTAACATGACTCCTATGTTCTTTGACGGCCACGATTA